TTAGTCTATTAAATACTTATGTATCACTTGAAGATCGAATTCCAGAGCAAATTGAAAGAGATTTTATTTACAAGATGGATGGATGGTATTTTACTATTTTATATATTTAACAAAATTTAAAATTTTTCCTGTATGTTTTGTACTCTTCTGCCACTTCATAAATATTAACCTAGTTAATGTTCACAGTATTGTTAAATATTATATTACTGTTTATTATGTTAACTAGATACTGCTATTATTCTCATGAGGCAGATGAGGAAACAGTCCGCACTGAGAGGTTAAGTAATTTGCCCACAGTCACACAGCTAGTAAGTGGCAGAGCCAGGATTTAAGCCTGGGGAGTCAGACCTCAAAGTCCACGTTCCTATTGTACTACTACATAAAATGCAGATATAAAAGGAAACACTCACATTGTTTCTGTTCTTTCATTCTCAAGAGATCTTTAGTAATAATTATTTTCCAACATTTAAAAAAGCAATTTGTCTCCAAGTATCTTTTTATCAGTGTCAGAATTAGCAATATGTATAGGAAAGTTTAGCTAAGAACTATTTAGAGAAGATAGCACTTAAAAATTGTGTCAATGTAGTGCTGTCCCAAGTTGCTATCTCTGTAGTAACAACAAAACTGTTCTTATTTGTTTGAACTCTCTAGGCTCCATATAATTAATTTAAGCATGAGAGAGCATGTATGCACTCTTTTTTTTTTTTTAAAGAAAAGTACTGCTTACCTTCCTGCAAGAGCACATGTATTTTCAAAGGCTCTCACTCCCTTCCTAGGAATGAGCAGATGTAGCCAGGAAGCACATGAAATAAGAAGCAGTGCCAATGGCAGGAGGCTTAGATTAAAGCTTACGGAAATTCCCAAGAAGATGTTTTTAAGGGGCATTTGAAGGGCATAGACCAGGTAGAAAGTAAAATATAGGATTATTTCAATGGAAACAATTCTCCATTTCATTTTCTCCCAGTGGTCTTCTAGATCTTAAGACTATATTCATGGGAAATTGGTAGCTATGCAATGATTTTTTTAATTATTATCAGAAAACCTATATCCTGCTCCAATGTGTCTTCATTGGATGATCTAAATCTGGCACTTGATGTCTTTTACATCACTTTCCCTCTCTATAAAAGTGCATCACTATTCCAGATCCCTCCCACACATTGATGCTTCCAGGGTGAATGAGATAATGTTTATAGTTCCACAGGAGAAAAGATACTAGGTACATTAAAAATACTAGTAGATTAAAATCCTTCCTTTTCTTGGAAGTGTATGGTATACCACAAGCATATAGTATTGTTCACAAGTCAAATTTTCAACAGAAATGATAATGTTTTCATAAAACAGGTACTTATCCCATTAAAAACTTAGTTTCTTTTAAAATTTTCAACCATTTTCAAAGGTAGCAATTTGAATTGGTTGATATTTTTCTTTATATTTACATTCATTGACTCTTTACTACCTGCTATATATATATTTTAAATTTATTTATTTATACATACAAAAGCTGGGGTACTGGCCAGAGATGTGGGGGTGAGAGGATTCACAAGTGACAGAGCGGGTAACAGAGCGGTCAGACTGACTGAAATACACTGCCGAGGGGAGCAGTGGGCGAGGCAGGAGAGGTCTGCTTCACCATGTGGGTTGCTCCCTGGAGGGCTGGCCAGAGATCGAACTCATGCTGCAGCTTCATAGTGCGGTGCTTAACCCCTTGCACCACCAGGGAGGACCCCTTCTATACATTTTAATGGAACGCTTTCCTTCTGGTTAAACAAAATATATTTTACCTTTCATTAATGACTCTTTAAGACATTAATTTATGAAATTATTTTAGTTGGCTTCAAAGATAACATCAGCTGACATCACAAAGTTGCTAATGCTACAGAAATATAAGCCCTAGAACTAAGTTAAAGGAACTACTAGTTCCATTTTATTCCATACCTAACATACAAATCTGAAGTTGGTTGTCAATACACAACCAACTTGTTTGTACATTGACAAGCTAGTATATCTGAAAATGGGAGATTAAGCTGCTGAAAACTTTGGAAGTCATGCCATATGGGTAGCTTAAACAAACACTCAGAGAAGAGAACAGTTAAAAGGAGCAATACGACTTGACCTCAAATTTTCAAATATCTGCCAGAGAAATGAGAACTATTCTTGTAGTTGCAAACAACTAAACTATAAACCTAGGTAGACTTTTAGGAAGGGATTTTAAAATTAAGCAAAACAATACCAAAAATGAAAATGACCATTTTTGAAGTTTTTGTTTACCGTAATTTCTAGGAAAGAAATTGAATGATTATTGGACAGATTTTGTGAAGAGGGTGCTTGTGGGCTGGGAAGTTGGGTTCAAGAACCCCTTCTGATGCTGAATACCTATGAGCCATTAGTACATTAGTACAGTTAGTTAGAAACTGTACATTAGTACAGTTTCTGTACTAAGTTATGACAGAGTGACACCTTTACAGCTGTTGGTCTCTTGCCTCTGAACTAAAAGGCTCTGAGTGCTGTGGTAAGTCTTTATGAAGTAGTCCTTATGACAACTTAAAAGTTCTGCCATTCTTATTACCAGGTTGCCTCACTTTATCTCTTGTTTTAAAAGCATCGTGCTCCATTCTAATTGGCTGCTTCTAATGTGGTGTTGTCTAATAATTTAAATAGAGATGTCAAGAACTCTCCCACAAGTAAGGTCTTTTTCCCATCTATATTAGTTATTAAAGGCCTTTTTAGCTTTCTTCCAAATTCTCAGGAATATTCTACATTTAATTTGTCCATTATGTAGCTTCTGGAAACTTGTTATTAAAGTTCCAAGCTTTATGTCCTAAGCTTCCTAATAATTAATAATTTCTCAAATTCTGACTTCATTACTGAAATTTTCAAAAACATTTAATCATAAGCAATGATATATTTATCACTAAGCAAGATTTTCCTTATATAGGTATACCTTTCCTGGATAACTTCTTCGAAATGAAGGTAGAATAGATACTAAATTAGATTATATAATTAAATGAAATTGATTAGAATGCTAATTACTTTTCTCTCCTGAGCTGCTTCATATGTAAATTATTCATATGGAAAGTACAGATTGCATTAGAATATGGGGAAATCATTCTGATTTCACTGGTTCTCTTAATCACTATTCCCGTTTTCAATGGTTCGCTTAACACCTCTTCCTGCTTTATAGCAATAGTTTTAACATAACTCAGTTAAAAAAAATTAGTAAAAATTTACTCTATACCTAGCAGCTGTTATCAGCTAAGAATAATGAAGAATACAAGAGAAATACCCTAATGTTCTCTATAGACTCAGCATAAAAGAATGCTCTACCGCTGGGGAACTTACTGTCTTCTTAAAGCAAATAAGAACAAGTTATAGAACAATCAAGGAAGTATTTTACCAAAAAGCAGAATTGTTACACACTGTAAATGCTTTTGAAATTTGTAATGAGAAGTGGAATAATTCTGCCTCAGTATAGTGGGCTGAAAAGTTAAATAATAAATATGCATTTTTTAAAATGTACGATGGTCATTAGGTTGATACAGGTACTAACACCCTTTGGCTGTTAAAATTTCCTATCATTTATTTGATAAAAAGAATAATTTAGAGGTGTTTCAGTGACTCTACTGGGAGCATATCTGTAAGATACGAAGAAAGTCCCACCACTGCCAATATTTGAAAACCCAAAGGGTTTATTTTTTTAAGTGAATGAGGTTATACAAAATTACTGTCCCCTACCTTTTGCCACTTGGTAGTGTTGACCAGAATCTTCCAAATGCATAGTGCCGACCTCACCCCAGTTCCTCCCTGGAGAGACGAAGTCCTTACATATCCCCAACCGAGTCGTTATAAATAATATCTACATGTCTCCCAAAGCTCTGCATTGCAGCCATCACATACGACCGAATGGGATCTGCAAAATAGATAACTTTCTGGAAACTATCTAAAGGCACAAAACAAACACTGCTATATAAAAAAAATCCCTTTGAACTTAACTTTTGCCAGTTTCCCTGGATTTGTACACAGAATGATATTTTCACAGAACTTATAAAAAGTCCCAGACTCAAGGGCTATTTAATTCCCTTCCATAAACAGCAGCCCTGAGCACTCCTATCCACAGTTAGCTGCTGGAGGTTGTTACTAATTGTTCCCCATAAGGGATTTCACAACACAGTCTCACAGCACAACACCCCCTATGTAGACTGCGAGCGCTTGGAAGGACCACAGGTTCTCTTTGTGGTGCCCCGGCCTCGGGACAAGCATGCCTCAAACTACCCACTAGCTACTCCTTTTTTGCAGCGTCCTGCGATTGCATTCGGGAACACCTTATTTACACCAAAATGGATACACCTCGCGTGAGCCTGATAAAGTCTGCAGACAGCGGTTAGGGGAGATGGCCTCGCCCCGCCTCCCCCCAAAGGCGTCAAGAAAGCTGCGCACGTCACTCAGCAGCTAGTGCCCTCTCGGGCACCCCAACCCGGGTTTTGGGGTGGGGTTCGGACCCCGGGATCGCGCGGACCCGGGAGAAGGGGTGGCGGGGAGTAGGGGGCGGGCTCGTTTTGCCGGGGGAAGATGGAAGTAGGCGCTTGTCTGTTTCGCGGTTTTTTAAGCCCCTTGGCATGCCCTGACCTGATCCAGAGGGAGTCAACTGCTCTCTGGAATGTTCGGGGAGAAGGTGGGAGCCTGCTTTGCAGGGGAGGCCTGTGGGTGCTGGAGGGCACCAGCGGGGTCACGCGGAGAGATGCAGGGCGAGCGCCCGGAGGGGCCCGGGGGAAGCTGGGGGCCGCGGTGACCCGCGCGCGCGGGGGCTGAGGCGCGCGGGGGCTGGGGCGCGCGGGGCCAGCGGGCAGGAGGCCGCGTGGGCAGCCCCCTGGGCTCGGGGGGTGCTGGGGGGCGGCAGGGCGGCGGCGCCCCGGCTGCACCGCCTGCGCTGTCAAGCGAGCGCGGGGGGCGGGCGGGCGGAGGAAGGCGGGGGAGGGCTGGCACCGGAGCGCCGCGGTGTCGGTGCAATAAAAATGCATCCCATGGAACTGCCCATGGAGAAGGACGGGACCGAGGCGCAGCAGCCGGAGGAGGTGGTCAAGGCGGAGCAGGACGCCCAGGAGGCGGCGGCGCAGGCCGGGAAGTGAAAGGTCTCGGAAAGTTCAGGCGCAGCTGCGGGCGCCGAGCCCCGGGCCAGCGGCGCAGGAGCCCGCAGAGCCGCTCCGCAGGGCAGGGCGGCCGGGCGGGCTATGGTCCTGGGGCTCCCGGCGCCCCCGAGGTGCCCGGGCCCCTCCAGGCCGGTGCGCGAGGGTCACCCCACCGCCCGGCTGGGCTCCCGCCCGCGGCTCCCGGGCGCCGGCGCCCCCTGACCGCGCCTGGCGCGCCAGGAGGAGGAAGAAAGACCGAGCCCCGGCTCTGTCCGAGGACGGCCGGCGCTGCATCCCACCGCCGAGAGGGCTCGGCTCCCTCGCGCACCCGCCCGGCCCGGGTCCTCCCGGCTCCTCCCGGCCATGGGGAGCTGCGCGCGGCTGCTGCTGCTGTGGGGCTGCTCCGCGCTGGCCGCAGGTGGGTGGTGACGCTGCCGGGCCCCCACCTCCCCTTCCCTCGGTCCTGCTGCTCCCCACCTCGGATCGGGGGTGTAGGGGAGTGCGGGCTGGGCGCGCCGAGCTCAGCTCCCGAGGATGAAATGAGTGGCCATGTTCCGCCTGCCTCCCCCGGTCTCCGCACTTCGAAATACTGCCGATTTTTTTGCAACTGCGATGCGCACGCCCCGGGATCAAGCAAGATCCTGGGTGCGCCCTGCCGGAGAGACGGCCACCTTAGTTTCTTTCTCGGTTTGGGCTTGTAAAAAACTGCCTTTCTACTTGGTGAGGGAACAAAGGACCCAGCTCGCCATCCCCCGGCACTTCATGGCCTGGGGAATGGTGGGGAGGGGTGGCCAGCGACCCTGGGCGCGAGTGGGCCGGAGCCGCTCTCTCGCCCGGAGCGGTCGCCGCGGTCCCCGACCTCACGCCGGGTCCTGGGGAGCCAGGTAGGGACACCTGGGGCGGGGGAGCGCCCTCGCACGGGGGCCAGTGCCCGGACGCAGGGAACCCCGGGGCTGGGGCGGTGGGTGGTGATCGCCCCGGGCTGTGCGGAGCCGGCTGGCCGCCCTGCAGGAATTGGTACCCTGGCCGAAGCTCCGCGGGAGGTCGGAGGCGGGTCTGCGCCCTGGCTCGGCCACTGGACGACCAGCAGAGGCGTCGCAAGATGCCCGCTCCCTCCACTCTCGCGCTGGCTTTCTTGCGCTGCCCTTGGCCACCCGCTCCTAGGTCGCCGTTGCTAAATTTGGGCGCTCCTTCTGCTCCTCTCCCTCCCTCTTGCGGGTCACCTGGCTTCCAGTTAGTCCTTAGTGCAGCTCAGTGTGTGAGGAGCAGGAGGGAAGTGAGGGACTCTGCCGCCACAAGGTCCTTGGCTAGTATTTCTCTGGTTCCAGAAAGGCGAGTGTGGGCAGAAGGGACCGCTGGTGTTGGATAGAAAGCCTTGGCGCTCATGTCTCTTTCCTGGGGTTTCTCTTACTCGGTCGCCAGAAATGCTGGCACGCAGCAAAAGCCAGGCTTTAAAATCTGCATCCCAAACGCTTGGAAGTCCTGGGAGCATCCTTGCTGTATTTGGGTGTCACCTTTTTAAGGGTGCTCCAGGTATTTTGTCTGACTCTGATCTTTTCTAGATGGCTTATTCGTTTGGGAGCATTTAAAATGATTCAGAACTTTCTTTGAGAAGCCTTTAAAGGTCTAAGGTTTTATTTTAAGTCCTCCTACCTGTGCATCCTTGCATGCACTGGCGCATGCTCCCCCAGCCACAAACTGAACTTTAATAAAGCTTTCCCTTTTCGAAACCATGTTGTGGCAAAACATGCAAGCAATCAAGAGGTTGTAAATAAATATCACAAGGCAAGTGTTTCAAGTCAAAAATACTTGTACGGGCAGTATATGATTTTCCCTCGAAATGCTTCACAGGTGAGTCATAGCGCATTGTGTGTTTGGGTGATCCTGGCCACAAGCAGCTGTTGCCCCAGCTAATCAGAACAGCGGCAAATAGAATCCAGGCATAATACACACTTGAATTTGACATTTAAAAATATGCCTAAGGAAGCCCTTTATTTTGGATGCGAAGGTTATGTGGGGCTGGTGATTGTCAGTGTGTGAAATGTCTCTGTTTCAGAGCAAGCTGTCATTTGGCTTCTCCGACAGTACCGTGATAACAGCTCAGTGGTGCTCCCTCTTAAGAGACAGAAACATTCAATTAGCCAGAATTTGGGGTTTGACTTCCTTTTCCTTCTTTTCCTCTCTGTTTTTTACTTTTAAAATAGGTGATGTTGCGAACAGTATTCATAATTAAAATGACAAACCCAAATTAAAGGATTATAATAGGTAGTCAGAGTATTTATAAGTGGATAATGTTTGTCATTTTCAGTAATTCTGAAATGTTAAAATCTGTTGGACCTGTCTTTGGATGGAAGCGTATGTTTCTTTAAGGTGTTTTAGTTCACAGATTATGGTTAAAGGTGCTGTTAGTGGCTGGCCGACTGTAAACATTTCTCCTGTTAAGCAAACAGGTAACTACTATACAACCTGTCATAGGTAGAAGTACTCAAGAGGCAGAGAGCGTGTAAAATAAACTTTGCTGACATTTGGCAGTTTCAAGGGTTTTTCCTACTGATATTTACCCAATATTAAAAATGGTGGTTGAGTGTCTGAGATGCAGTGGTCTCGATCTTTGCCTCCTTCGTGATTTCCCACTGTATGCTTATTGAATATCTCATCTTGCTTTTCCTGGAGAATGTATCTCTTCATATTTGGCTTAAAAATGCAATAGAATTCTACATTTCCTCCTTACTGCATTCTCGTGAGCATATTAATGAGTGCTAGGGACTCAAATTCTATCTAAAAGACTCAGTTGAATGATCTTAAAAAAACTTTTTTCGTGTCATTTAACTTATGACTTTAAAGACAAGCATATTTCCAATAAGGACAACATTTAGAAAGCTAAGTACCTGAAAAGTTTTAGGCTAATTATCTTTACCCTAATGTTTCCATTTTCCTGTCTTGCCTTTTTTCTGAAGTGATTTTTTTTCTTTTATGAGAATTTTACATCTGAACACACACACACATGCACACTCAATGCAGAAGAATATTCATGCTTAAATTTGGGCAAATTTCCTCTATTGAAAATCTAAACTTCTTTAGGGACAATTTGACTATTGAAGGTGGACTGGGTAGACGAAAGAGCGTTCCAGATGGATTTGTCTGGAATAACATATGCTTTCCCTTGTCTAGGACCGAGTGGAGTAGCTGGAACGGGTTCCCGCTGTGAGAAAGCCTGTAACCCTCGGATGGGAAATTTGGCTCTAGGGAGAAAACTCTGGGCAGACACCACCTGTGGTCAGAACGCCACTGAACTGTACTGCTTTTTCAGTGAGAACACTGATCTGACTTGTCGGCAGCCCAAGTGTGACAAATGCAATGCTGCCCAGCCTCACCTGGCTCACCTGCCAGCTGCCATGGCAGACTCGCCCTTCAGGTTCCCCCGCACGTGGTGGCAGTCCGCTGAGGATGTGCACAGAGAAAAGATCCAGTTAGACCTGGAAGCTGAATTCTACTTCACTCATCTAATTATGGTGTTCAAGTCCCCCAGGCCAGCAGCCATGGTGCTGGACCGGTCCCAGGACTTTGGGAAGACATGGAAGCCTTACAAGTACTTTGCAACTAATTGCTCGGCTACATTTGGCCTGGAAGATGATGTTGTCAAGAAGGGAGCTATTTGCACTTCTAGATACTCCAGTCCTTTTCCATGCACTGGAGGAGAGGTAAGGGTGCATGTTTAACTCTACACTGTCAGTAAAGCAGAAAAATGTTACCAGCCCACATTTTTTTTTAAAGGGAGAAGGTATACTTGTAGCAACATGAATGAAATTAGAATTTTTCATGAGCTTTATTTGTCATAAATTATTTCTCACCCTTACATCGGGATGTGTAGTCATCTTCAAGCTGATTGGGTTTAAGCTGGAATGCTAAGATTTTAATGTTTTTAATTTTGAGAAAGAATGGACACACAACATCAGCACTCTACCTGAGAAATTTAAATGGCTCCTGATTTCTTCAGTGAGTCGGGCTGCTTGCTGTGCTTCTGAAGGGACCAGAGTTACTAAGACAGCTTGTTCCTAGAGCACCCAGCTGGTATCTTCCTAAAACTGTTAACATAAATAGGAGGTAAATAAAAACAAAGCCAAAAGAGAAAAGGGCCTGTTTGCCAGAAGAATACTTTCATATGACAGTGGTGGTTTACAGTTAAGATTACAGGAGTGTCTAGCAAACAAAGGAAGACAGTTCCTTTTAGGGTAGAAATTTGGGGGACCCAGAAACACACCAGTTCCAGCTTAGTGACTTGGATCCAACCTGGGCCCAAGATTATCTCATTCTCCATATGGAAAACAGCCTCCATAGCTACTTGATCCACTTTCTGTGTGGAATGTTTTCTCGTGGCTTCACATTTCCCCCCCCCAAAGGGGCGGCAGCCCTGTTCAACTGATGTGGATGCACCTAGTAAGTACCCACCCCAATTTAACATGCAGAGAAAATCAGGTGAGCGGAAATTAATAGAATATAATCCTTTCAACATGGAGCTCAAGAAACAGCAACACTGAAAAAAAAGAAGAGAGCGTATATCCTTCCTAATTTTAGTATATGTTGTGAACACACAGATAGGATAAGTGATTTTTGATTAGGGGTGATTTTTGCCACACTCCACCCCCTTCCAAGGGACATCTGGAAATGTCTGGAGACACTGGGAGAGGGTGAGGGTGGGGGACACTATTGGCTTCTCGTGGGTAGAGGCCAGGTATGCTGCTAAACTTTCTAGAGGACACAAACACAGCACCTCTCCCATATAGCCATAGTACCAAGGTGAGGAAAGCCTGGTCTAGTTAAATACACATCCATTGTGTATAATGTAGTATCATGGCTATGACACTAAGATAAGCACTCTTCTCGCTGTCATTTTTATTACTAGTCGTAGACTCCCTAGATGGCTGCATTTGGTAAACATTTTTTAAGCCTCTACTGTGTGTCAGAAACTGTGCTTAGTGCTACTAATTCTGCCTTGGGATTGGAGTGATGCTTGCCAGGATCTGGTTGAAAATGTAGGTTTGGGGACTTCTGCTTCCCCCTCTAGCATAGACACACATGGACTCTTGCCATATTATCCAGCTACTCCTCTGTGTGCACTCTGCAGTCAGGAAGAGTGCTGCTGGCACTCAGGACCAAGGAGGATGTGGCACACGCAGCACAACAATTGGGTTCCATTCTTTGTTGGGGTCCCTAAAGTTGACTTAATGTTGTAAACCTATTCGCACTCTGTCATGGTGGACATTTTTAAAGATATCAAGACAGGAAAGAGACATATAAGTGAGACTCATTGTTTTCTTATAGGGAGAATACCTTGTATTGCAAACACGTGAATGACTGGAACTTTCAAATTGCTTTGGAACTGTTTCGTAGGCTCGTATCTGCTCCTTGCATCTCAGTGCTATTGGGCTATATGCATCTATGAGGTCATAAAAAGACAGTTCTAGTAACCAGATGGCAAGCATGCTCACTTAGCAAATATCACATTGAATTTGTTACAACAACCCAGAAATAACTTAAAGATGATTAAAGTAACATTTATTTAGTGTTTGGTGGAAGCAAAATCTTGTCTTCTATCAAACCAAACTACTTTTTGTCAATAATGTTCACATTAAATTTCAAATAGAGAGCACGATTTATGTTAGTTATTTTAATGTACAGTATCCTTTAATGTCCATTAAATTTTTTAAATTGTGGCTATTTTAGCCGACATATTTAAATGGCAATGACATATTTTACTATATGCAAGTGCCACCAAGTTCCCTTTGCAAGTATACATTAAACCATCATAGAGTATCATCCTTTCAGAGAAGTTTGGGAGAAGATCTTTTCCTCCTGAGTTAGAGAGTCTTCCTCAAAGATAAGTACCAGAGAAAGCCTCCCTGGAAATGATTATTGCCTACCTTTCCTATGCCACTTGGGAATACAAATTAATGCTGAGCTACCCATTAGTTTTTCAGTGCAACTCCATACCATAAGTCTCCATCTTTGCAAACTGAATGATCATAAAAATAATCCAATTAATGTAGCTTAAAAAAAGTGGTCTCACATTCCATTTGTCATTTATTTATAGTACAATAGACCTGTACTTTTCTTCATTCTATATAAGACTTCTTAGAATTTCTCTAGGTCTTTCCTACTATTCAGTCTAACACAAATAGACGCCAGACTTACTTTGTTTCCAGTGTTCATTCTAAAATACTCCTCTGGGCTTTGCGGGCTTTAGCCTGTAGCTTTGTGTCTAAGAAATCAGACATTTCCAGCTTCGGAGTTGAAGGAACCAGTCATCTGAAAGAAAACTTGAAGCATGTAGGCCCCAAATTCCCCCCAGAGGAAATTTTTTAAATCAAAGTTAAATCCACTATACAGATACTCCCAAAACTGACCAGAAGTTTCAAAGAATGGGATGATGTGTTATCCTAAAATGTGTCTCCTGTACAGCAGAAGAGGTTGAGACTTAGAGGTGAAGTGACTTACCCAACAACCTACATTAGTTAGGTAACAGAATGAGGACATAAATCTAGTATTTGTTCCATAAAACTGTGGTCCCTCTCTATCACTGCCTCCCAGTGATACTCATATCGCTCTTCTTACTCATTCTCTCACAAGTATTTGCTATTCATTTGGCTATGAGATGAAGGTAAAAAAGAAAGAATCTGCCAAATAGTTTTGTCCTTAGCAAGAATGTCCTTTGAGATGTCCATAGAGTTCTGGGAGTAAGTTTCCATGACCAAATTAGGCTGGAAAACACTGACTGGGTTCAGCAATAATAAACATTTATAAATATATAAATATTCTCATATGCACCCTGTATCCCCAAGTCAGAAATAGATAGAATGTGACATCCCCAAATTTATTTGTCCATGGAACCTGTCTTTGTAGAACTCCAACAACTATCTTTTGGGACTCTGAAGATCCATAGAGCACAATTTGGGAAATGCTGGGATGGAGGTATTAAGTGAGCCCCAAATCCTAGCAAAAGCATGGATGAGGGAAATGTTTAGGGACATGTTTCATTTATGCAAGGTGTATACATTCTGGAGATCTAATGTACAGCAAAGTGCCTACAGTTAACAGTACTTTACTGTACACTTGAAATTTTCTAAGAGGGTCTTTTGTGCTCTCACCCCCCCCACACACACACAACTGTTTGAGGTGATAGATGTGTTAGTTAGCTTGAATGTGGTGATGATTTCACAGTGTATATGTGTATCAAATCATCAAATTGTATACCTCAAACATATCTAATTCTTTGTCAAATGTACCTGATTAAAAGAAAAAAGGTACAGACAGACCTGGTGCTTGGCATGGTTTCACATCAAGACTCTGTCAATTGGGGACTTAGTCTATTTAATTAGAAAAGTAGATAATAATAACCTTGAAGCTAAAGAGACTAGGTTAATCCGGCTCTTTCAGGATGCAAAGAAGCATACCCACATTACCTCTCGATACAGAAAGTAGAGTGAAGGGGGGGAATATTGAGCCATTGTAGGTCCCATACAATCAGATCTTATGGAACTGGAATTTTGATTATCAGTATTTAGCAAACATCATCTATTCCAGTGATGCTAAAGTAACTCTAAAATGATGTGATTATTATCTCCTTAGATGTGACCCTCACTTGCCTCCTGCTCTACTAACTTGGTACTAACAGACCTCTGTTCAAAGTTGGGTAGCAGCAAATCAAACCACATGAGTATTTTTTTCTCCCATGACATTTTAAATGCATATCTCTTGAAGGAAGGAAGAGATAGAGAGAAACCAAGAACAGAAGGAGTAGCTGGGTCTCAAAGGAAGCACTAGGCAAGGATTGTTAAAGAGGATAAGGATGCATTGGTTTTTTTTTTTTTCCCCTTTGCATTTAACACATTTCTGTGGATAATCAATATATCTGAAACTGAATGGACGAATGAATGAATACATGACAGACAGGTAGGATAGAAGGGTATCCTTAATTGACACAGAGAGAGGAATGAATATAAACCTCAGTAGGAAATAAGATTCAGAAACTGTAGTTAATGAGAGGAAGTTGAGTTGGTAGTAATATAAGTTGTGGTTGAGAAAATCAATGGATGAAAGATCTTAACTAATGTTTATTCATTCATTTATTCATCAAATAATTTTTTGAGTTAGCTTGTGTCTGATCTTGTTTTAGGTGCTGGGGTTTTAACAGAGTATCAAAGAGATTTTTAAAAACCTTCTATCCTCATGAAGATTAGGTAGTGGGGAGAGGTAAGGAGGGAGGAAGAGAACAAATAATTAAGTAAAATATATAGTAGATCAGAGTGTGATAAGTACTCAGGAAAATATAAATGGGAAGGGAGGCGGAATGCTGGCCAGGATGGGTTTGCTCTCTTTAAAACAGATGGAGGGATTTCTGTTTGATGGAAAAGACAATGACAAGAACTGACTTCCTGGCAGGTTTTCATGAATGAACAAAATCTATAATTAAGAGTCACATTTCTTTCAATACATAGATATGGGAAAGTGGAATTGTGTATTAAAATGACAAACATTGGTAACAAATTCTTCTTGCTAGTGTTTCTCAGGATGAGAGCCTTTGAAAGGGAACTAAATGGCATCAATGGAAAAAGAACATGACCGATGAGTAATCTGAAGTATAAAGGCAGTTAAATGACTTGTCTGCAATTACTCAGCTGAAATTCGTATTTGCTGACTTCTAAATCAGTGCTATTTCTGCTATACTGATTTGAAATTCCCTTGGTCAAGGACAGTGGTTTTAAAGATACTGTCTATCTACTTATTAATTTATATATCTGTATCGATGTTCCTTTCGTTTGTCATCCTTACAATCTGCTAGGTAAGCGATTCAATGTGACAATTTATGGACTTATTTCTTAAGTAACATGAGACAGTACATGATTAATTCCCCAAATGTGCTGTGCAGATAAATATGCCTTTTAAGATTTGAGTTTTTATTATTTATTTCGGTGATTAAAGGGTTTGTGTCTCAATACTTTACGATAAGGTCAGTATGGCATGAATGTGCAGAAAATAAGTTTCTTATCAGGGTTTTACAGGTATTTAGATTTCTAATGGGCTAGCCAATATTTCAGATTTTTTAACTTCAAAGAAAAAAATAAAGTAAAACATTAGAAGAAATGCTTTCTAAGCACTCCTCTTTGGTTCATTACTTATTTTCTTCAATCTCTGAAATGTGCCTATGCCTATTTCTGCAGCAGTAGGGGTCACAAGTCACAGGGGCAGCTAATATCAGCAGACTCCTGTGCCAAGCTTTCTATAGAGTGCACTGCATCCCTTATTCTCACGGGAACTCTGATTGTTGGGTACCAGTATTGGTCCCACTTTACAGACAAATAAATTGCTACTTACTGAGTTGAAGCAACTTGATCAAATAAGTCAAATAAGTAATGAGCTATCCTGTGCTAAACCTGGATTTATTGGCTTGCCTTGAAATTATTATATATTAGGCTTTATTATAACTCCAACATTTTTTAAAAACTAAAATTAAATTGCTGTGGTAATTTTTAGGTTTGTGGGCCTCCCCGGTGGCGCAGCGGTTGAGCGCTGGGTTGGGAAGCTGCCGGCAGTCTCTGCAGCGCCGGTTCAATCCCCGGCTGCTCCCCGGCCTCGTCCCACATGGCGCGCAGACCTCTCCTGCCGCCCGCTGCTCCCCTCAGCAGTGTACTTCAGTCCTTCTGCCTGCTCTGCTCCCCGCTCTGGCTCTGGTGAATTCTCTCTCCCTCCCGCGCTTCTAACTGTACCCAGTGCTTGTATGTATCAATCAATCAATCAATCAATAAATCTTAAAAAAAAAAAAAAAAAAAAAATTTTAGGTTTGTATATAACTCACAGTATAATTGTAATATGGTTGCATGAACTTTGCAGAAGTTTCTATTTCCAATTACTAGATAGGAAAATTATAATAAGTAAAGACTGAACTTAATGTTACCCAATATAATTTAAAATAACTATATTGAATGAATATCACAGTTCTTCAGAATCTTTTAGCACTTTATTGGCTTATTTTTTGGAAGAAGATGAGTACTTTTTATCTAACTAGTAACTGCTTTAAGTAAATTTTCTAATTACTATGGACTAATGTCTTGCTTTGAAGCATAGTCCCAACTATAATTTTGTCGAACTTCCTTGAAATAAAATGTATCTATTTGTTTAGAGAGCTTCGATTATCCACACCCTAGAACTACTCCCTTCCTGTGGGGATGGACCTAGAAATTTATAACATCAAATTAAAAAAAAATGCCTTTAGCTTAAAGAGAATCCATAGTGTTATTGTCAACTAAAATTATTTAAAGAACAAACTCAAAAAAGTCAATATACCTTGAGTTGTTCATTTGAAAGGTTGGACTTTTTCCTCCAAAAATAGTTCTTTTGTGCTATTTAAAAACAGCTTAGCATCTTTTTGCTTTGCATTTGTTTAATTTGATGGTTTAACTGCCAATGGTTTGTTAAAATATTCTGGAAGGCTTTCAAAATCAGATTTTAAAATGCTGTGTTAGTAATGAATGTTTCACATTGAAACAGGCAAAGAGTGGGCACCAAGAAGTCAGATATACCTGAGCGTATATGCAAGGAAGCTTTCTATCAAGGAAGGAGAACCCTAGAAACCAGCATAAGTGTACTAGGAGTTGAGGATCTGGAAGATGAAAAAAATGAATCATACCAGAAAATATGAAAGTTATTGCTTTTGATCAGTAATCAGAGTGCTGTAAACTCGGTGACTATAACCTCTCCCTCGCCTGCAGCCTCAGATACTCTGTGTCATTCACGTGTCACTATTGTATAATATCACACCACCATCTCTTCTACTCTATTAGTGATTATTCCTTGAGGAACTTTGTCCTTTCTACTATATTGCCCTATGTGATTCCCAGCCCCGAACCTTTGCACCTAGCCCAGATCCCTACAAGGCATAAATGTCTAAAATACATTTGTTGAATTGAATTATAGGAAGATAACTATTAAATAACAACACTGTTTATTATCTGTGTTGGGAATTACACATCTACTAAGGACAGATTCTTTCAAAGTAGCCATGATTCATCCATTCTTTGTACAAATCTTTTTAAAGTATCTTGTAGGTGCTAGCTATTTGAGGAGCTGGGGTTACAGAATGATCTCACATTCTAAACATGGGGTGCTGAACAAGGTAAATAAGTAAAATATATAGAGTGTTGGATTACAATAAGGGTAAAGAAAAAAAAAATAAAACATGGACGGGGACTAGCAAGGAAGAGGGCACATTTAGACAGAACTCCCAGAGAAAGCCTCACTGAGACATTTGAATAAGGACCTGAAGGGAAATTGAAGGACTTGACTCCACCAGGACAGCCAAGAGCTCAAGGTGCAGTATATTAGGTGAGGTCAGAGGTCTGAGAGATAATGGGGAAGTGCTAGAGATTATGTGGGGCCTTGTAAATAGTCTCCCCTTTCACTCTCAAAGGGTTCCCAATTTGCACCAGAAGTTATTATTATAAGATTATTGGTTTTCACTTTGATTGATAATAGGAAGGTTTTAAGCAGAGGTGCTGATATGTTTGATTTATTTTAATAGAATCACTCTGACTTATGTGTTAAGAAGAGACCTAAGAAGGAAGGAAACCAGCCAGAAGGCTATTGCAGTAACTCAGGCTAAATGAAATGTTGCATAAACAGTGGGTAGAAGTGAAAATGGTGCAAAGTGGTTGAAGGATGAGAAGGACAGAAGGACAGTTTTAATGTGAGTACTTGGAAGAATAGAAGAGCCATTTCTGAGATAGAGAAGACTCTAGAGGGAGCATGATTTGGGGAGGAATTCCAGGGGCTCATTTTGGACATGTTAAGTTGGATTTGCCCAGCAGAACTAAGTGAAGATACTGACTGACTCGAAATTTGGATCTGTGGGTTTGGAGTTCAGAGGAGAAGTCTGGACTAAATATATAAATTTGAAAGTCTCGGTGTAAGGATGACATTTAAAGCTATGAAACTGGATGAGATCATCTAGGAAGTGGGTGTGAATGGAAAAGAGGAAGGTCAAAAAGTTAAACCCCAACAAGGCTCATGCTTAGTGCACTGGTACTGCCATTACCAAAAACACTTCTGCAATTGCCAAGGCTACAGAAAAACCAGTCTCACCAACCTATGGGGCCAGCAGTTGTTTAATTAAGCAGCAACATGAGTCTAATAATGTTGACTCACCATATCCAAACAGTGGGTGCAAATTTTAAAATGACAGGGCAGAGGGAAGGCATGAGAGCTGCAACTTTGGGCTTTCAAAAGACAAAGCAAAACAAATAGGGAGAAGGGAAAGCACTAGCTGAATAAAGAATGATAATGGAAAAGGGAGCCGGAATTGATGAAGGAGAAATGTGTCTTTGAAAATACCATATGAAAGAGAAATGGTGACTTTTGGGGTCTTCAGATTTTAGGGGAATATTCCACTTCATCTTGACACATTCAGCTTTTTTGAGTCAAAATTCCAGCTACAGGAGCAATTTTTTGAATGCCAATGGGCCGTCACAAGACTGGAAATTAACTGAAATACAGCATTGCACACATTTTTCTGCTTCGTGTGAAATTTGATTTGAAGAATATGACAGAGAACATCTAGCTAGGGCGTTGGAGCTATTTGAGGCATTTGAGTAAAAATGTTTATACTTCCACAATTTCAAAAAAATTTCTAATTAGTGTTTACTGTATTAATGTTTGGACAAAAACCAAAACACTGACTTTTTTTCTATTTCATGTTTCTGTTTTCCTAACCTTCATGCAACTGATAGAGGAGCAGAAATCTTTGCAGGTGTCAGCTATGCTTGTTGTTGCTACTTTACAGCATCATCACAGTTCCTAAAATAAAAAAAAAAATTATGAAAAATAGTCAAACGCTTTCTCCATGACATCACCTTCATTTGTGTTAACATTGTATCTTTTGGGCTTCTGGAAAAGCCTTCCATTGTATATTTGAAAATTAAATTGAAAAGAGAAAATGTGGTCACCCTTGAATGCTCTTTAATCTCCATTTAAAATTACTGTTTCATTTTATTTTAGTCAATCTGATCCTTTTGAGGTCTTCAAGTTTTCCCATCAATGCTTTTTGTAATAGATGCCTACACTTCTCTTCTATCCTATGCCTCCATAAAAAACCCTCTGACTCACCTCCACCTCCATACAGAAAGCAAAGGTGAATGGAGGGTCCTTCCAACCAATGTTAGATTAGAAGAACCAGGCACCTCACCCTCCAGGAACCCTCTTCCTTATTTTCCATCCAACATACCCAAAGAAGTGCCTCACTCATACTTTTGTAGCAATGCCTCCCTTTCTGATGATGATCAAAGTTCAGAAGATGTGAGTCCAAAGGCAGCAACTTTTCTGGGAGACAGGAGATAGTGAAGAGGTGTAGGTGTAAACACAACAAACCAAAAGTAGGGAGCAACCACCCTTTTTCATGTATGTTTGTTCTATCAATTTCTATTTGTTCGTTATGGCCATTTTTCCTCTTAAATTTTCACTTCTTTTCTCAAAGCATCTAGTTATATCACATCAGACCACTTTTTTTTGTCTCTTTTCAGCTCACTTGTTTCCAAAAAAAAAAAAAAAAATGTACAGGATACCTAGCCTGCTCCATGAATTTTCTCTCCCAATCTTCAATTAATTCTTTCAACAATTGCTGCTCTCTCCTTTTTTTCTCTATCTTTCTATATATACCAATTCTAGACAATTTCTACCATGAACTTTCCTACTTCTTCAATTGGACAGCTGAACTCTACTGGGAAAAATAATAACACAATGGTACTGAGAGGTGCCTCTACAAATGTATGCTTTCCAGTCTCAATTTCACCCTCAAACTTCCTGGAAATTATTTCTTCTTCAGCTCTCTTTCCTCCCTGCAGTGATTCTTTCAGTTTCTTTCCTCTCCCTAAGACCCTCCTCATTTCTTTTGCTTATGCTTAGAAAAAGTGCTTGCGTCCTGCCTCACTGGGAAAAATAAAAAACCTGTATGAATGGAAGTCTGACCACATGAGCATCACTGTCAAAGCCAAAAGACACATTAAGGCAAAGGCTGAGATTCTCAATTCTTATTTTTCCTTCATTCAGTTTCAGTCATTTACCAGGTCCTATCCCACTGCACTACTGGAGTCTTTCTAGACTGTATATGTCTCTCTCCATCCCTATTGCTATAAATGATGGTGCAACCTGTGTACATTTCAGTCTGCCTACATTACAATATCCTCTTGAATGTTCTTTCTGTTCTGTCTGGCTTGCTCCCTAATCTGTTCTCCATGCCTCACTCAAGGATTATTGTTAAAATACAAAATGTCACTTGCCTGCTGGGGAGTCTTTCAATGACTCCCCAGTGCTCTCATAGTCGACATTCTTTAATGTGGCATGCTAGGCCCTTTCTGAATGCTCCGTGGCTCCATCTCCCACTGCTGCCCCTTATACTCTGCTGCCTTGCTTCATCTATTGAGCTACTTGTATTACTCTCAGGTGCCATGCACTTTCTCATCCTGTGACCCTCTAGCACATATGTACAAGCTTTCTTTTCCTGATATTCTACCCCCCTTCCCTATTGCTACCTCTCACTCAGCTGAGTTGTCACTCAAATATATTTTTAGACGGATGGATAAATAGATATTTCCTACGCATCCCTAAGAATTTTGTTTAAACTTCACTTCCCCAAATTCTAGGTTACATACACTACACATATGCCTCACACACATGCACCCATAACACATGTTGACCTCCATCATAAAACTTACCGCATTGTTTTATGAATTCTCAAGGAACCCACAACTATGCAACAATAGGAATCAAATAACATTGACTCTCATAACTTTTAGAAACATTTGCCTTAGCATCTAATGTGCTGCCTGACATATTTAATAGATATTCATCAAATCAATAGACTCCGGGGAATTATTCTTGTTAATATTATCAGTGATAACTATTGCCTTTTGTAGTTTAAAGCCTTTGATGGCAGAGTATCGAGTTATGCAGACACACCAAGCAATCTGTTTGAGAGGTGACTGGCTCATAAGTTAGTCATTTAGGATGACAGGTCCTGTGCAGACTGTTCAGCAATACAATTTCCCAACGAAGACAATATCATAGGTTCCACCTGTTTGCAAACCCAAACTAGATGCTCTATTCCTAGTCCAAGAAGGACAAAGGGTTTCGGTTTGGATGGAAAGGTACACATCCACCACTGTCTCTTGGAAAACAATGGAAGTTGCACATAAAGGTTAACTTAGGGATTTAAACATTTTTTTCACCACTATCATTGGAAATGATTGAATAGAGGACCTCATGCTTAAGCTTCTGCAGTGTTTCCATCTGGGTTCCTTTCCACAATGCTGTATTGGGTGTAAGAGTAGTTGTTTTGTGATTCTGGAAAACAAGCAATCACCTTGTGACACTGCCTCTGGACAAATTTGTTCAACTATTTCCTTCACTCAGATAAACTGCCGAGCCTGTTACTCCTTCTCCCTAAGAACTGCTATTTCAAAAGAATAACTATAAGAAAGGAAAAAATCAAAATCAACAAACACCTATGAACCAGAGACACACTATGGGGGGCAGGGAAAGAAGGGATTGGGGTCAAAATAAGGGGGTTGCAATTATATGGGGAATATAAAAATAAAATTTTTAAAAAATTTAAAAAAATAACTGCTATTTCAAATAAGCTAAATCCAAATCACCTGCATTTCTAGAGTTGGGAGGAGAAACTAGCTTTGGAGAAGGAGGTTTAAATATTATTTTCCTTGACAAAACAAACAAAAACCTTTAAAAGTGAAACTTGTAAGCTATGTCTGTTTCCTGTTGCCACCACTTCACTGTAGCATATTCCTGCCTTCAAGGGGTTCAAAGAATCTGACTGGGATGTTTAAAATGCTATCTCTTAAAGGATGACTAATAATGAGAAAGCAGAAAAAGGAATTCCATGGAAAAGTGCACATATATAAAGAGAGTCAATCTCAGAATGGCTGGAGTGTTTGGGAGGGTGGGGTGTAGGGCAGGGAGGTGGAGGGGGATGACCAGCTCTGGAGACTCAGGTCAGATTATATAGGGTCAAGTGCCAAGTATTTGGAAGTTGATCCTGTGAGTAATGAGATCCATCAATAGTTCTTCTGAGTATGGAAAACATAATCAGAACTGTTCAAGAAAAACACTCCAGGAGTAATGTGAAAGATTCTTGAGCAGGGCCTCCCCGGTGGCGCAGCGGTTGAGCACTGGGTTGCGAGGCTGCCCGCAGCCTCTGCAGCGCCGGTTCGATCCCCAGCTGCTCCCCGGCCACCAGAGGAGGGTCCCACATGGTGCGCAGACCTCTCCTGCCACCCGCTGCTCCCCTCAGCAGTGTGCTTCGGTCCTTCTGTCTGTTCTGCTCCCTGCTCTGGCTCTGGTGAATTCTCTCACCCTCCCGCACTTCTGACTGTACCCAGTGCTTGTATAAATAAAATAAATAAATAAATAAAAATAAATCTTTAAAAAATTAAAAAAAAAGATTCTTGAGCAAAACTTAGGAGATGAAGCTTAGTAGAGATCAATATAAATTCCTCTTTTTAAAAGTCAGCTGTGATACCACCAGAGAGATGTGACTTAGCCATTCATGTGAAAAAGACCTGGGAGGTTTAGGTTGACTGTAATCTCAATGTGAGTCGACAATATATCATGACTGTCAAAAAAGTTAATGCAATTTGGGCTACATCAATTGAAGAATAACGTCCCAGCAGAGGAGAGATTAGTCTTGTTGTGTTCTCTAGTCAAAGCATAGCTAGAATATTACACTGAGGTCAAGATACTACTCTTTAGAGAAAGCTGAGTAGAACTGGTAAGATCAATTAGAAGTCTCATTATATAATGAACAATTAACTTGGATATTTTGCCTATGAGAGAGGATTTATAGATGTTCAGGAATTGCTAACATTCTTCAGATGTTTGAAGAGGGATTAAATGGACTCTGATGCTTTCAGAAAGCAAGAATAGTGTGATCAAAGAAAAACTTTCTTAAAAACTGGATGTATCCAAAGACAGAGCAAACTCTCTTGAATTTCTCATCTCATGAAATGTTTCAACAAAAGTTGAATGATTCCCAGTGAGAGGTGTCACAGAGAGGACACCTCCAATGGGGGAGGTCTTAGACTCAGCTCTGCTGAGCTAGATCACCTTAATCTTCATGCTATCTATACAGGAGTGCTAGATTTTGATATAATCTTTTTTGGGGAATTATCATTTCTTGCTACTGCAAGGTGTGTGGTTCTTTTTATTAACCAATGAACATAAGTCACTTAAGTGCCAAAGAAAGCGGAGGCAGGGGGAAAATTCTCTATTTTGTATCCACAGACAACATTTTATAATTTACAATACTACTGGATATTGTGTGGTAGCATAAGTATAAGAGCTGGAGCCCCATGTCCAGTCCATCATCAGGTTCTGGTGGTTCTGTTTCTTTTGTTGGTTCTCACCTCTTTTGTCACTGCTTTGCCTTAGTTCCTTCAACTCACACTCAAATCTCTGACTTAGATTCTTCCTTTGTAAATTAAATCGTTGTGGAAAAGAATGGCATAAGGCATATATAAATGTGTTTTGTAAAGTATCTAAATACTATATAAATGCTGATTATTAGCAAGGATAATATAATTCAATTACATTGCTAGTGAGGTTCATCTAGTCATTCAACAAAATATTTGGATGCAACCTATTTGTGTAGCACTATTCTAGCCTCTGGGAATACAGTAATAAACAAAAAAAGGACAAAAAATGCTTTCTAAAGTCCAGGCAACTGACTTACAAATAAATTTTTAGAGCCCATTGTCAGTTAGGGACTTTCTGGACTAAGTGGTCAACCGTCAATATTTCCAGGAATATCAAGGGCTACATTTTTGTGTGGTGCTTTCACAAGGACATTTAGAGAATGACTCACTCTTTCATAGTCATTTAGTTATTTAATAATAGGTAAAGTAAATGTAAAAGAATTAAATATTTTTCATAAAGTAGTTATCTTTCTAAAGAAGCAGGAATAGTCTGGAAGGAGTTAATTTAAAGAAAAATGAACAAATCAGATATACAAAGGACAATTCATGTCTCTTCATTCCTTATTTAGTTTTACATATCTATTGTGACTCTACAAATTCTTTCAAAACTATATTATGAATGTCAAGTACAAGATAAGGAACTAAGTTTTAAAGATATTTTTAGATGCAATGTTACGGTAAGAGACAAGTATGAGCTCCAAGAAAAATTTCTTATCAAAATTGAAAAAAATGTGCCCACCTACACCTTGTTGGTATTTCAGACTCATGGAGGAATTTCCAAGTGATGCTGGTGAGAGGCAGGCGCTTCTGTAGTGAGCTCAGAACAAGCAAGC